CATTTACAAATATAGATTAAAATGTGATCATATTGTCTCAGTTTGGTAAAACCACACTGGAAGGCAATAATGGATCATATGGTCACAGTGACTGCAATCTGGATTAAAGTAGACATTCTAAGCAAACTACTTGTCCCCGGGGCTTGAGAAAAGTGAATGAATTTTAACATATTATTGGAAATTTTAAAATATTACTGAAACGAAAGACTTCAGAGGCAAGTTTTGAAGCAGAGATTATCTGATTAAATATTTACATGGCATGGGGGAAGGGGAAGCTGGGACGAAGTGAGAGAGTAGCATCGACATATATACACTACCAAATGTAAAATGGATGGCTAGTGGGAAGCAGCTGCATAGCACAGGGAGATCAGCTCTATGGTTTGTGACGACCTAGAGGGGTGGGATAGGGAGGGTGGGAGGGAGGAGATATGGGGATATATGTATATGTATAGCTGACTCACTTTGTTGTACAACAGAAACTAACACAACATTGTAAAGCAATTATACTCCAAAAAAGATGTTAAAAAAAAATATTTACACGGCAGAGCAGGGGATGAGGCATAACTACAGGACCCTGGCACTCCTCAGTTTGAAGGCATTTTTATCAGAAATACCCAAACCAGTAGGGACATGGCAAATGTCTGATTCCTGTGCCGTGTTACAATATTCTGATATTAAAATTCTCATTACAAATAAACATCCCCATTATTTGAACATGTGCTATATACAATATGTGGCTAAGGTAATACCTCTAGTATAATATTTTGGAGCCTTATCATGCAGCACGGAGTAGCTAATGCCCTGAAAGAGTAAGCCTCAAGGAATTCTGGGTGTTATTTTTAAGCATGTATTTATCACCTTCTCTGTGCCAGGTATAAGCACTTGAGATAATGATCATGAAAATGAGGAGAAGGAGATTGGTTGGCCTGGGCTTCCATTCATACCCCATTGCCTCGTTCCCCTGCTGACTGCTTTATTTTATGAGTTCCCTGGGCCTGGCCCAAGTTGCAACTTGTGGGTTTAGAATAGACACTTGTTATGGACTGAGTGTTTGAGTCCCCCCAAAATTCATGTGTTGAAGCCCTACCCCCGATGCAATAGTACTGGGCGATGGAGCCTTAGGGAGGTAATTAGGGTTAGATGAGGTCATGAGGGTGGGGCCCTCGTGCTGGGATTAGTGCCCTTGTAAGAAGAGACACCAAAGAGCTTGTTCTCTCTCTCTCTCTCTCTCTCTCTCTCTCTCTCTCTCAGAGCACACAAAGAAGAGGTCATGTGTGCACAAGCAAGATGGCAGCCACCTACAAGCCAAGATCAGAGGCCTCAGAATTAAACCTACTTTGCTGGACTTCCCAGCCTCCAGAACTGTGAGAAATAATTTTCTGTTGTTTAAGCCACCCGGTCTATGGTATTTTGTTATGGCATCCCAAGCTGATTAAGGATTACCTGGACTGTGGGTAAAGCAAACTAGCCTAGACAGGGATCACAAGTTACTGTGGCCACCATGCTTTAGACAGTTTCACTAACTGGATCAAACTGCCAGTTATTAAATACAGGAAGAAGTATACAGGGGATTGCCCTCCGAGACTTTATTTAGGAAAAAAAAAAACATCTGAGGGTGATTTTTTCCCCTTAGTTGAATGGCAAATCGATAAAGAATTGTGAATCTGCCTATACACTGACCCCATATAATGACAACATGATTTCACCACCAATTAGACCAAATATCCTAAATATCTCTGAACTTTATGATTTGGCCATTGAAGAAAGCTAGAAAAATCAGTTTATTAGAAAGATTGTTTTGAAGCTGAAAAAACAAAAAGGTAATGATTTGTGCACAACTTTGATCTTGGTCATACATATATTTAAATCTTTTTCAAAGTGAATATTTGGGATTTAACTAGAAGCATATCAAAAAAGGAAAAATGTCTCTTTTGCCCACACAGTTATTGATTTAAGCAAGAAAAAACATAAATAAAATGAAATATATTATTTGGGTAAAGAAAAAAACATAATTCTAAGTTTCAGTTGTTTTATAAATAGTTCTTTAAATCCACCCATTGATAAGTCTTTCTAAGGAATAAGTCAGTATCATCCTTTACACACAGTAGACAACATATGTGTGTGGGGGTATATTTGTTTAGCTAAGAGGATTCAAATTGATTTTCTATTTCAAATCCGATAAGCATAACAGAAGAAGTATGTGAAGTAAAACTTTCTGAGTAATGTGGTACATTTTAGTGGTCCTAAATAGGTCATAGGAGATCCGTGATTCTCTTGGGAAAGAGAAGAAAATGAGAGAATCAAACCTCTGCGAATAAAATGAGCTAAAATTTTATTTTTTTTTATTTATTTTTTTTTTTGCGGCACGCGGGCCCCTCACCGCTGCGGCCCCTCCCGCCGCGGAGCAGCAGGCTCCGGACGAGCAGGCCCAGCGGCCACGGCCCACGGGCCCAGCCGCTGCGCGGCACGTGGGATCCTCCCGGACCGGGGCACGAACCCGCGCCCCCTGCATCGGCAGGCGGACTCCCAACCACTGCGCCACCAGGGAAGCCCTAAAATTTTATATTTTTGAAAAGTATATTACACAGTGATTTTACGGAAATCATGTATATTCAGAACTTAACCTTAAGAACCAAACTGTTGACAGTAAGCACCATAAATTCCTCCAAACTGACTCAAACCCAGGACTTATTGTCTAAGAAACTAAGATGAAGAATGCATGTGTGTTTGCAAGAGTGCAAATGTGCAAAATTCACCTTGGAACATTTTTAGTTGCAGTGATCATATAGATGTTTCCCCAAAAAAGATTTGATCAAAGTTTTTGAGACAATAACCCTATTTCGCTACCACCAGTGATAAAATACTTCCCAACAAAATGTGCTTAGAATTAAGTAGAATCATTTTTTTAAATAAACAGTTAATACTTGCTAAAACCTTGTATGTAAAACATATATACAAATACAGTAAGAGTGATAGCTGATTTATTTTTTAAATTTTTATTGAATGATCTTTAACAGATTCACATTATAAAAGAATATAACTTGTGCTAAATTTCAGCTATTTTCAACACCATTTACAAAATCACTTTTTAACATAATCTAATCATGTATTCCTTTGCATACTAATCAAGGGTATAATTTCCCCTTATTACAGAAAATAATAACAAGTAAAATAAATTGGAACTCAGGCAGAATCAATGACTTGGGTGTGTCCCAAGAGAAGAGCATGTACCCTAGACACTACCAGGAAGAGCAGCCCAGAAATAAGATCTGCGACTCCTGAATTTTATAGTGCACTCAATTACAAATCACTAAAACCCTTTAAACATAATGGCCTGAACTAAACCGCTTGTACAACCATTCAGCAAATATCTGATCATTCAAGAAATATGTATTGAGTGTCTACTCTGTGTTTTGCCCCAGGGCAGCCACTGGACTCTGTCTGCTGAGGCTGCCATGATGGACCCAGTGTGTGCACCGCCTTGGTCCCTAATGAAAACGATCAGAACTTTCTTTTAAAAATTATATTCAGGGCTTCCCTGGTGGCGCAGTGGTTGAGAGTCCGCCTGCCGATGCAGGGGACACGGGTTCGTGCCCCGGTCCGGGAGGATCCCACATGCCGCGGAGCGGCTGGGCCCGTGAGCCATGGCACTGAGCCTGCGCGTCCGGAGCCTGTGCTCCGCAACGGGAGAGGCCACAACAGTGAGAGGCCCGCGTACCAAAAAAAAAACAAAACAAAACAAAGAATAAAAATTATATTCATAAATTATACTCATTTTCTTAAAGGGACATATCCAAAATCGCTAATCAGAGAATTCACCAAAATAATATGTCTATGGCCCTATTAAGAAAAGCGAACTTTGTCAAGGGGAAAAAAGCCTTTCTCTTAAAAAAGACGATAGAATTCCTTGTCTCAAACTGTAACACCTCATTCGTAGGAGACTGTGTAGCTGTATAAAATGATGTGGCTTTCAACACCTGATCATTTATTAACTTTGGAACTGTATTCCTACGCATACTTGAAAAGTCCATGTTCTGAATACTAGTTAAATAAAAACTTGAGATCTTAAAATGTCTCAGTTTCCCTGTTTTTAAATTAGATTTATTTCATAGAACAAAGTAGTTGTCCCATAAATAATAACACTTCAGTTGGTATTTTTTTAAAGCAGTAAAACAGTTAATAGTTTTGTTTATAAAGCTTGCTGTTCATTGTAATTCTTAAAAAAAAAGAGGGCTTCCCTGGTGGCGCAGTGGTTGGGGGTCCGCCTGCCGATGCAGGGGACACGGGTTCGTGCCTCGGTGCGGGAGGATCCCACGTGCCGCAGAGCGGCTGGGCCCATGAGCCATGGCCGCTGAGCCTGCGCGTCCAGAGCCTGTGCTCCGCAACGGGAGAGGCCAGAACAGTGAGAGGCCCGCGTACCGCAAAAAAAAAGAAAGAAAGAAAGAAAAAAAACCCTAAAGTTTCTCAGACCCAATGGAAAACACAATATAAACATGGAGGGCATGAGCTGAATGGGTCTACCTCAGAGTAGTACAAACTGTGTTATAACTGTCTCAAACTTGATTCTAGTCGTCCACCTCTGTATATGCAGTTTCACATTGAATACACAACCGGCACCCTATTGGCCTCTTCTCACAGTAGGACCCTGAGAGTTAGTCCATTGAGAAATCACAGATTATTTATGATACCAGCTTGAAATTTTAAAGAGTGTCTAATCTTTAACAAGGCAGAAAGAAACAAAAATTTTCCCACCAATGAAACTTATCACCATGTAAAGAAGAATATATACTTGGCATTGAAGTGTCCATCTAATTGTAGGATGCATACCTACACCTTTTAAAAATGTATGAAAAGCTCCTAATTTTGAAAAAATAAACATGTTGAAATACTATGGATAGGGTTCAAGTCCAAGCAAAACCTATGAAGTGATCTTTACTAGAGAAATCAGAACCAGTTTTCTCTGCGATGTAGGTCATCCACAACCTCGTTTCGGGGATCCGTTAGCCGTAGGTGCAACTGGCATCATCCCCGTGCATCCAGAGGCAGATCTGGGCGTACTTGAGGGGCGTGATGCGCACGGCCACGTTGTAGTCCTTCTGAACTCCGTTTATGTCCACCCACTGGTGGCCGGAATAGACCGCAATGATTTTGCGTTTCCATCTCTTTTTGTCCGGATCTTTCAGACGCAGATAGACCCCAGAGCCAGTGGAGCCCGACTCAGCATCGCAGTATTGATAGAGAAGATCATTGGATTCATCGGACACGCTGCAAAACCGGTAGACTAACTGATCTGCCCTGTCGTGATCAAATCCTGAGAAGTGGATCATTCCGCCGGGCAGCTTCTTGACGGTGGGACTGACGCCCAGCTCCATGTATTTCTTTTTGTGAGCACGCTTCAGCTCCAGAAGGGCATAGTCATAATCCAAGGCCGCGTCTCCCCTCCCTGCTCTAGCCCAGCCTTTGGGGATGTGGGTGTTCTTGACCCGGGTCCACTGGAAGGAGGGCGTCCCATCAGCGGCTCTCTGACCCCGAGCAGATTCCTTTCCCCTCCTCCCGGCCTTGGCGCTCTCCTTCAGGTTCTCTCTGCTACCCTGTCTTCCAGCACCACCCCTTGCTTCCCTCCTGTTCCTCCCAGAACCTCTGTGTTTCTTGCCACTACCTTTATTTCTCATCTTCAACAACCCTACCCTTAGCTTTTTGCTGCCTTTGATGTAGTCGTTTCCATCGTGGACACAATGGGCAGCTGTTAGGACGTGGTTGGGGGAGATGAGGATACCACTGCAGCCCGTGGAGAGCTTCACGGCCGTATTGAAAGGGAAATTGGTTAAGAATCTCTTGTCCAAGATGCTGAACCTGCTGTCAGTGCCGTACACCTGTCTCTTTCTCCTCACAGGTGCTTCCTGGGCAGTGACATTTTCACGTGGCTCAGGGACCCAACCTTGAACTTTCACTCTGGTCAAGGTTCGGGTGCCGTTCTCAAAGACAGTCTCATATGAGAGAGAGTCTTCCAGGTCAGAAAGGTTGGGAGCTGGGCGTTCTTTCTGGCATTCGATGCCACACGCTTGATTTAACACCATCTTAGCGTCTGCTTCAAAGGTGGGGCTGGTGAGCTGGAAGGTCCTTTCACTGACAAGCCGGGGTATTTTTCTCAAGTGCCACATAAAATCCCGTTCCATTTCAGATCCACAGATGAAAGTCCACCCAAGGGTGGAAAGTATCAACCAAAATAGCGTTTCCATTTTGTTCTTCTATGTTGTCCTTTAAAATAGAAAGAGAAGCTTTATAATGGTTTCTTTTAAAATATGTTACTTATCATGCATTTAGGTCTTGGGTCCTAAAGGTAGCTTCACCACCAATAGGAGCCCATATTCTCACTGTACTTAGATTTTACTGAGATCAGATAAACACCCTACTAAGTAGGCTCATACAGACATCCAAAATCAGTAAATTGTTTTCACTCAGACTTCCCTCCACCAGCCCTAATCCCCGTGCATCCTACCCCCATCTGCCATCTCCCCCTCTTTCAACCCAACACATGGGAGAATAAGAAGGGGTGGCAAACTGGGGTCCTCTGTTGCATAAGCCACACCATCTTCCTTCCAAGGTGTCCTACAACCTTATCTCCAGATGATTTAGAAATAAAGATAAGAGCAGATGTCTGGCCCTTTCCCTGAACTCAGCTTCTTAATAAAAGCAGGGATCATAAATTCCTCATCTCTAGAATGTAAATGGCTAGCACGGAGCTCAGAAAAGGCATTCACTGGAATACAATGAATTTCCCTTAATCACGGCTTGCAGACCAAGCTGATTGATGGTGCAATTAAAATCATAGGGTAATATTCTAAAATATTCAGTAGAGATTTTAGAAGTAAATAAATGGGCTCCTCTGCTATTGACCTGCTTTGATTTTTACAAGCAGAACCCCTAATCATAAAAAGAAAATACACAGCACAGGTCCTTTTATCCGAAAATAAGAAAAATGTACCCTGTACTTTTTTTAAACAAAGGTGTGCTTGGAACTACCACCTAAGCAAAGCACCACGCAAAAATACTTAATAGTGGCATTTTACTTTATATTAAAATTGTAAGAATTTATGGAGCACAGGCGATGGTTATGAATTTGCTACTTGGGGGAACATGATCATGATGAAATATAGTCCCTTTCATCCTGGGTCTCTCATCTGAAAACTGTTTAAATTGTATAATACCTCTTTCTATTGTTTACATCTTCTTGCCTTTGTTTCCTGCTTCTCTAGGTTCACTGGTATGTAAATCTATTCCTAGAACTGACGTTTGTCAGTTGTTGCTTGGTGAGAGTGAGGGGGAGTAGTACTCTTTGGAGCAGCAATTTGGAAATTTGTAAGCTATGTTCCAAGTTGTTTTTAACTAATAGTTAAAATATCCAGGCTTAGCACATGATTTGCACTGTGTATAAAGCAGAGGCAGTTCAAGGTTAGATTATTCCTACAGTACCTTCACTCTCAAGGCTTTCTCATAAGCTTTCTTTGCTTATCAAAGAAAAGAAAGCTAATAAAGAATGTCAGGAATGGCCCACAAAGCAGGGCACACCCATAAGATCCTGGGAGCTGGCAGGAAAAGCCGAAGTTGCCTCTGATTCAGAGCCGAATATGGGCATCTCTTGATACAATGGAGTTCATTCTGCCATGTACAAGTACAGAATTTTATTAACAAACTAATAACATTCTTTTGATAAAACATATACTACATTAACCTTTGTTATTTAAACATGATCTGTTCATCAAAACATGACAATTAATTTGAATGATCGTACATTGGAACATGTTAAGCAAGTTTAGAATAATCTTTACCATGACTTCATGGCATCAGCAAAATTACATAGAAGTTTTGCAATTTCCATTTTTCTTCTATTTGCTCACAGTTGAATGCTAAGTAATGGTGATTCTGGTTAATATTAGTATTGTTTGCTGAATAGCTTGTACTTTATTTTGGAGACAGGGCATTCTTCTGTAGACTGATGGATATTGTCCAAAAGATCAGTAAACAGTATACTTGAGAAAAAAATCCACACTCATGTCACAATATTTTCTAATCATTACCATGGCAAATTTGACTTTACGCAAAGCAGTAATTATATCAGTAATGATTTTGTTGAACCACTTAGTATTTTCTTTTGTTGCCTTTTATGCAATTTTCATAATGAGTATTTCATCCATTTTATTTAATTGGATTGGAATGACAAAGGCTAACAACTCAGTAACTCTACTGAGACCTTGAAATTGTATGTTTAACTGGGTGGTTCCCAAGATGAAAAGTTATGTCTTTCCAAAAATAAAAGCTAAAATCAGGGTTATTTGCTGCCTCTTAGTTTATCAACAGGCCATAATAGATGATTTTAAAAAGATGTATACATATCTTTTTATCTACTTGATTCTTAGCAAAATTTCAACCAAGGGAGTTTTTTGATGTGGGAAACAAAAGTTTTGAAAATCGAATTTTTATTTAGCCCTATGTGATAACAGCTGTTCATTATGTACTTAATATCTGATTACAGCAAAGACTGAGAATCAGCCAATTACCCACAGTAAAAAATACACAGGGGCTTCCCTGGTGGCACAGTGGTTGAGAGTCCGCCTGCCCATGCAGGGGACACGGGTTCGTGCCCCTGTCCGGGAAGATCCCACATGTCGCGGAGCGGCTGGGCCAGTGAGCCACGGCCACTGAGCCTGCGCGTCCAGAGCCTGTGCTCCACAACGGGAGAGGCCACAACAGTGAGAGGCCCACGTACCGCAAAAAAAAAAAAACAAAAAAAACCCACAGGATCACTTTGTACATTTTAACACTTGGTAATAATGATCTGTGCAGTAATAAATGTGTGAAAGCCATTCCTAGGCAAAAGAGAGAATGTCAAAATCATGGTGTTGTGGTATTGCTTCCACAGTTAGGTTTTGTTTTTCGGATTTGGGTTTGTTTTTTGTTTCTTTTTTTCCAGAGTTGTTTAATTTAGTCTTGCAAATTTTTAGCTAGTTAGGATTTAGATAGGTAGAATGCAAATATTAAATTATAACAGACCAGATGGTACTTTACTGTACAAATAATTGACCTAGAATATGAATCTCAAATTGAGAAGTTCCTTTATTCTTTACCAAGTAAAACGTGTGCCCTGTGCATTAATTCTGTTGTCAGACTTTTAAGAAAGTCCCATGTAATGGTTAGTTTTATGTGTCAACTTGACTGGGCCACAGGGTGCCCAGATATTTGGTCAGATATTATTCTGGGTGTGTCTGGGAGGGTGTCTCTGGATGATATTAACATTTGAATTGGTAGATAGAGTAAAGCAGATTGCTCTCCCTAATGTGGGTGGGCCTCATCCAATCAGCTGAAGACCTACATAGAACAAAAAGGCTGATCCTCCTGTGAGTAATGGGGAACTCCTTCTGCCTGACTGCTCTGAGCAGGGAAATTGGTTTTTTTCCTGCCTTTGGTTTCAAAATGAATTTTGAATAAGACTTTATTAGTAAGATTTTGTTAGTAAGATTCTGTGCTTGTGAGTGGCAAAATAAACTCTGTCACATCAAAGGATTCCCAGGTTGAAGTCCCCAAACCAGCAGTGTCAGCATCCCCTAGGAACTTGTTAAAAATGCCCAGGGCCCAACCCAGACCTACTGTTCAAAACTCTCCAGGAGGGGTGTGGGTTCCCAGCTAGGCATGTTGTACACAGCCCTCCAGGCAATTCTGATACTCAGTACAGTTTCAGAACCAGTTCAGCAGCCAAGGTCCTGGTGTAGCAGCTTAAGCCCCTCCCAGAAGGTGGACTTCCCAGGGATGATTGCTTAACCAGGTTTCAAAGGACCTCTGCTTCATCTCTGTGTACAAAATAAATTCATTCTAAACTTTGCTCTTTTACTATGTTAGCAACTGTTAATACTGAATGGTTCCTCCTTTAATGGAAAAAGAACATACTTTTACATAAGTGATTTAATAATACTTCTGAAAAGATTCAAATTCAATAGGCTTGTATGTAACGCCTCTGATGCTACAGATGCTACAGATGATGCAAGAGTGTTAGTTGGCCAGCCCTGTCTGGTGCCCTTTGAGGGACTCAGCTGCAATGCAGCACAGGAATAAAAGCCATGCCCACATTTTTCCTTGGGCACGGGAAGGGCAGAGCCTTGTCATATGACCTCAGAATCACAGTAATAAAGGACATGGATTTAGTAAGCCTGTCTAATTTGGCCTATAATTTCAAATTGAACAAATGTCTCAGGACACTTCCTTTTGGGAAATCTAAGTTTGCCTTGTGGTAAAATGTCAATGTAAGGTAAATGATAGCTCTTGCTGATAGAGCAAGCCATGGTTCAGTGGATACATCTACAGACGCCTGTCATTCAAAAAGCACTTACTAAAGAGACACGGTCCCAGCTGGTGGAGCAGTTATAGTATTTTGAAAGCTTTAATGTGCCATGTCTTCCCTCATTCTCCTTCTTTTTCCCTGTCTTCCATTACAATTGTGACCCTCCCTGTCACTTTCCAGATGGCTTGGATTTGGGGCTTCAAATTCCAATTCTGGTTAATGAAAGTGAGGTTGCAGTCATGGCTCTCACCACGAGTCAATGTACACATAGTTGATTACGGGTTGGACCATGGAGACGAATGGAAGGGAAGAGAATTAGGGGGGAAGCAAGAATACCAGGATTTATAGATGACTTCTTGCTGACGAAGCAGATATTAGACCACGTTTCTACCTGGTCTGTAGTATTAACAGAAATGACCACCCGTAACTACAAGAGATAACTTACTATTGCTTTTGTTTGGTTGCTTGCTTATGCTTTCTTAGAAATGTGAATGCCGATAGTATTTAGAATATTTGGGTATCTCTACCAGCATAGTGGTTACAAGGGCAGACCAAGGAGTAAGAAGACTTGGGTTAAGTCTCATCTTTACCACTTATTAGGCAACTGAATATGGGCAGTTTATTAAGTTCAATTAAGTTTCTATTTTCCTCGTCTGCAAAGTGAAGATAATAGTAATCTCAACTTCATAATGTAATTGTGAGAATTAAATAAGTTGATATATGCAAAGAATTACCACTGAGCCCAGAGCATAGACACAATCAATAATAAGTTCTTTTATAGTTATTATTCTACCTTAATGGGTGAATTAATATAACTTGAAAACAATTCATAGTATAAGGCAAAGTTGTAGCACTTTTAGTTTTCTAGAAAGTCGATTTTACACTCAGATATTTTTATTTCAGGAG